TATCGCAAGACGTCTCTTTGGTCAATTTCATTCTGCTGAAAAGACCATCTATGCCGTCCGTCATGGTAACAAATGCCAACACGATGATAATCGACGTGGTCCACTTTAGTCGGAGCGCCGATTTCAGTGCACTTACAATATACATCGAGACGCTGGCACTTGAGCAGAAGTAATTGTTGAAATTAAAGAAATTGAAATTAAAATAAATGAAATCCCGTCAATTGGAAGTACACGATCAGGTACTAACGCAAGTACTGGCGTATTGACTGAAAATATATTTTAAACTCTGCAAAAAAGCGGTCGGATCGAGATAAATTTTGTATACAATATTAAATAAGCATCCCCTGTCCACAAATATCTTAAAATCTAAATATTAATAATCCGAAATTCTCCCGCAGAGGTTGATATTTTTTTTTTGTTTTTCTCATATTTTAGGCGCAATTGAAAGATTTAAAAGCTTAAAATTAAACTGATGATAGGTCTATAATATTATTATATCAGTAACTTGTATAGAAATATATACTCAAAATTAGTTTTAATAAGGTAAATCTTCGAAAATTTCAGAATGCTATCAACTTTGTAACTTAAATGGTTAAGTGTTTATTTAATTAACTTTTAAAACTAAGAATAGTTTTCTGAACATTTTGTCTGGTCTAGAACCGGTTTTAGATAACTTCTTGTGAAATTATCAAAGTCATGCAATGCATTATTCAATACCTATTTATATTTTTACTATACAAAATATAGTGTCACATTTTCACATTCTGGACATCTTAAAATGCACAAAATAACACATGCGGGCGAGAAACCTTTTCAACTTGAGATATGTAAGAAGATATTTACATAATCTACAAGTCTTAAAAATCATAAAATGATCCATTTGGGCCACTTGCGCAAAACCAAAAGAGCTATGTAGTGAGTTAGAGTGTAATGTGTATACTATGTGGGTGTGTAGGGGTCACTAAAACTAAATAAATAAATAAAATTCAAGACTGAATAGTGGTAATAATAATAATATCAATAAAATGTTTAACCCTTTTGTATGTAACTTTACATGTTTATTCTTAAAAATAAAACCTCAGAAAGTCGGCGGACTTTTCTAGCTTTTGATCTCACAACTTTGATTTAGTTTCTTTAGTAAAATTAGGAGCCAACAAAATTGAAATCTGGTATTGTACTGAACGAGGAGAAAGGCTTTCATAGGAATTTCTTTCAGTAGTTGTCTGACCATAGAAAAATGCAAGTGCACGCTGAACCGCACTCGAGTTGGTCGAATCTCCGAATTATAGCTTGCCTCAGCTGTGCATTTGACTCATCAGCCAAAGAGGCAGACAACTCATCAAAAGCCTCGTATACATATCCGGTATCGAATGACATTACCTGTTGCAATTCGCCCAATAGATTTGCATGTTTTTCACTATTTTCGCTATTCGATGAACACGCAAAACCTTTTTAATACCGACGGACTACTATTAATCATATTATCTGTTGTACAAAAAACATTGTACATTTTTCTTATTACGAAAAACACACATTATTATTAATGACCATGTGGCTGTTTTTAACATAGTTTCAAATAGTTTGCATGCTGTTTATGTTTACACAGCTTGATTTTAACGTTGTATTTGCAATTCGAGTAAAGGGAATACCATATTTTGCTTTGTATGACGCCAAACATGTTTTATTTACTGTGCTGAATTTCATCGAAGTATTATACTTTATTATCAAATTTTGTCCAGTAAATTGTTTCCATATTATGTTACACACAAATGAGGCAAATGTTTATCGATTGGGTTCCTGTATGAAATGATATAATACAATGTACACAAACTTCTCTATATATTGGCAAGGGTGAACTTTTGATTTAGCAATACACTTTAACGTATTTGCAAGGTAACCATTTTTGAATTTGACATGACTTTTTCGAATAATATCAATGCCAATAGATGTATAATAAATTTATCTGCTCCATACTAAAATAAAAGTCGAGGAACCGTATAAACCTAAGATAATAAGTCAATGTTTAAACTGCCAGGAATATGGCCATACTAAAACTTATTGTAACTACCCATCACGCTGTGTTCGCTGTGGTGATTTCCACCAATCATCCGACTGCTCAAACTCTCGTGATGCTCCACCCAAATGTGCACTTTGTCAAGGAAACCACCCAGCCAACTACAAAGGCTGTTTAGTCTACAAAGAAATTCAACGTCGAAAGAAACCCTCTTCTAATAATGTATTTCTGTCAGATAACTCTAGACTTAGGTCAAACGTTGTACAAACTAGCCACCCAGAAAATGACGCCCCCCTAAACGCTTCTCGTTCATATGCTCAGGCTACCTCCGGCCAACGCTCAATTCATCCTTCTCCCTCCTCACCTGACATTAATAAAGTAATGACTAATTTTCTTGAGGATTTTAAAGCTCTTATAAATCCTCTAATATCTCTTCTTACTAAAGTAATATCCTCTCTATTAGATAAAAGAAATGACTAATACCTCTACAAACAAATCCCTTCTTGTCCTACTATTTAATGCAAATGGCTTAAAAAATCACACTAATGAACTCCAAACTACTCTATATAATAAACGTATTGACATTGCTTTAATAACAGAAACTCATTTTACTCAATATTCACACATACACATACCTGGTTATAAGCTAAATAAAGTTAACCATCCAGACAACACAGCTCATGGAGGTGTGGCCATCTTAATAAAATCCACAATAATATATCAAACTCTTCCAAATTTCTGTCAAGACTTTATTCAATCTTGTGCTATAAAAATCAGCTTAAATAATATTCCAATTACAGTTGCAGTAATTTACTCACCTCCTAAGCATAATGTATCTTATGCAAACTTTTTAAATTATTTCAATACAATTAACAATAACTTTATAATTGGCGGTGATTATAACGCGAAGCACCAAAGTTGGGGGTGTAGAGTTAATAACCCACGTGGAAACGTTCTCTACAATTTTATAAATTCTAAAAATTTCAAAGTACTTGCTCCTCCAGGACCTACCTATTGGCCATCATCCCCCCATAAAAATCCAGATATACTGGATATATTTGTAACTAAAACCCCTTCAAATTTGCACTATTCTGTTGATAATATTCTGGATTTAAATTCCGACCATTCATCGGTTGTTCTCACAATTAAGGACTATCCGCAAATCATTACTGAACCACTAAGGCTATTTCACGGCTCTACTGATCGTTTCAAATTTCATGACCTTGTAGATCAGAATCTCCAAATAAATATTAAATTAAAAACCAATGATGACATAGACGCTGCTGTAAATAGCCTAACTAATGTTATTCAATCAGCAGCTTGGGCTGCTAACACAGCTAAAAATGTACATAACACTAAAACCGATTCACTACCGACTAATATTCGTATCCTCATAGCAGAAAAAAGAAGAGCTAGAGCTCTTTACCAACGTACTCGTTTACCCTCACACAAAAAAATATATAACAAGTTAGCCAACTCTCTTAAAAAAATGTTATCTAAAAACAAAAATCTCTCTTTTGAAAATTACCTGACTAACTTATCATTAAAAAATGGTAGCCTTTGGAAAGCGACAAAGCAAGCACTGCAATATAAAGTAACTACCCCACCTATCAAAAAAACTGATGGAAGTCTAGCCTCGTCAGACCTTGAAAAAGCTGAACTATTTAAAAATCACCTCTTTAACGTTTTCCAACCCCACCAAGATATTTCACCTGACAATATACCTATGGTTCTTAGGTATCTCGACGTACCATTACCACTTACTCTACCAGTCAAGCATTTTACGCCTAGTGATATTAAATTTACAATACAAAAGTACTCTCTAAAGAAGTCTCCAGGTTATGACCTAATTACTGCTGAAGTAGCTAGATGTCTACCTAAACGAGCATTTATCCTACTTACCCATATATTTAATGCCATACTGAGGCTTTCCTACTTCCCACTCCTCTGGAAGTTCTCTAAAATCATCCTATTCCCAAAACCAAATAAGCCCCTTGACTCGTTACCTTCTTATAGACCAATTAGTCTATTACCATTTTTTGCGAAAGTTTTAGAAAGACTCATACTCAAGCGCATACATCCCTTTATTAATGAAAATAAAATTCTACCGGATTACCAATTTGGTTTTCGTGCCAAGCATTCAACTATCCATCAAGTACATAGACTAGTCGACTCAGTTTCTTATGCACTTGAAAAAAAATTATATTGTACCTGCGCTTTTCTTGATATTTCACAGGCTTTTGACCGAGTATGGCACGAGGGACTGCTATACAAATTAAAGAAATTTTTGCCCCCTACTTACTATATTCTTCTTAAGTCATATCTAACTGATCGATATTTTCAAGTCCATCATAAATCAGCGTATTCTAATATTGCACAAATTAGAGCTGGTGTTCCACAAGGAGGCATCCTTTCCCCAATTCTGTATAACATATACGCTTCAGACCAACCAACCACGCCTAACACTTAACTTTATCCCTTACAAATGTGGTCTAATAGCTAATTGCTGCCTACGCAAATCTTAATTTTAATTATTTATAATATTCACTCACTCCTACTATGCAAATGTTTGTATTTTTGTTTCTTATACATATTAACTTATAAATTAAAAAAAAGACATGTTTAACAATTACTAGTTCAACAGTGCGACGCGTATACAATAACAGTTGCAGTATAAATTTGTTCATTAATTGTAAGCAAAAAAAAAAGTTTTGAAGTACATAAAGCGCCACTATTTCTTTCTGACCACCCTGTATACTATTCCACGGTCGCCGCCCAGCGTTGTTGCGACCGGCCACATAATTTACTTTATTGTTTTGCGCCTTTGTTGACCACCGCGGCGCGTTGGTCAACAAGACTTGCGCGTAAGACGGTCGTTACCGTGAGCCGGACGAACCGCCGGTGGCCGCCACTCGTTGTTACGGTGTCCGCGGGCGCACACGATGAACCGCCGCCGCCGACAGGACACTAGACGCCGCCACTCGCGATGAACGACGGCGTGGGATGTAAGACGGCCGCGACCGGCGGCGGCGATGCGTTCGTCGTGCTCATGGCGGAACCGATTACGCGCGGTTTGCCGCCGCCCGCACCGTTGCCGCCACTACCCTTGACGCAGCCGCCGCCGTCGGCTTCTGTCGACCCGTACAAAACTCGTCCGCGAAAACCGACGCGCAAAGAACGCACAGCTTTCGTCGTCTTGCCCGACCCGCCGCCGCCACCGACGGCGGACGTGGCCAATCCAAACACTTCCTGTTCCGGTCGGGTTAGTCCTTTCCGGGCCTACGGATTTAAGACGCCGGAAGCAGGCCGATCGCGCGCATCGAGTCCGCGGCCGCTCAGGCGACAGGCGTCCGACTCGCAGATTGTGGCGAAAAAGAAAAAAAACCGCCGCCGCGTCGTCCCTGACAGACGCCGCTAGACGGCTGTCCGCATCTTCCAAAGACCTCACCGCAGCAAAACCTTCGAACAAATCTAAAGCGTCGACGCCGAAACCAGCGCGCAAAATTATACCGGCGGCTCGCAGGCCACCGGTGTCGCCGACGCGCGCCACAAAAACGCCTCAGCCGTCCAAGACGCCCAAGACGCCTCAGCCGCCGAAATCGTCTTTGCCGCCCAAGACGCCTCTGCCGGCCAAGAGGCCTCAACCGCCCAAGCCAACGGCCAAGCCACCCCTATCACCGTCCAAACCGGCCGCGTCCAAATCGCCGACTAAGCCCAAACCTGCGGCGTCCACCCACGGCACACCCAACCGTTCGTCTCCCGCTAAAATGTCCAACAAATCGCCTCGTCTTTCCAAGAAACCGATCGTCAACGGCCCACCCGCCAAAACGGATTATTCGCCGGCGGCCACTGTCGGAGGGACGACGACCACCACAACGGCAGCCGCCACTGTAGCCGAAAATATAACGACCGGAGCGGTGACCGTCGGCAGTACGACGTCGACGGCGGCCACCACATCTGCGGCGGCGTCGACTTCCATATCTGCCGTCGCTCCGGTCGCCATCGACCCCGAGACGGTGACGCGAATCACAGTCACACCGGTCACGGCCACTCCTCCGGTCGTCGTGGTCACTCAGTCGACGGCCGTCACCAACTCGGACCCCGTGATCACACAGACCACCGCGGCCGCGGTTGCTCCCCCGTCGACGCGGATCGCTTCCACCGTGACGCCGGCCGCACCGCCACCGATCGGCGACCCGCCGGTCCGACCGTCCGTTTTGCGTGTTCCCCCGGTGGCCACCATGACGGATGTGACCCGGCCAAAACTTCCGCCGGCCATCAAGCCGCCGGCCGCGGCCGCCACGCCGGCGTTGTCTTACCTGACGAAGGCCATCAAGATGGATGCGGAAAACCCAAACCAGAGCGGCGGGCGAGCGGGCATGTCCGCCTTTATGGCCACCCGGAAGATGTCCACGAGCAACGGCCACAAAACGGTGGCGTGGGCCAGGTACCGTGTATTGTTGTTCTATTATATTTTGTACATTTGATTATTGGTATTGTCTTGATATAAGTAGTGCCAACGCGAACACACAATAGTTAATTAATGATTCTTTTTAGAACTTTTTACGAATCTTTTAGCATCCGTACACTCTAATAGTATGTACCCGCTGCAGTACATCAAAGATGGTACGTTTTCGTTTTGAGGTGTTGGATTATAATATACCGTACAGTATACAATATATATATATGAAAATAGAAGGGAAAAAAACTGGCCGTTCGATACCTTTCGTCCTGCACAGTGTACCGAGTCACGAATGGGCTGTGCCGTGCACGCGTAATTGGGTCACCGTAATATATTCCTCTGCGGTTTTCTTGCGCTTACGAACTCGGACCGTGAACATGCGATCCGTGTACAGAGTTTTCTTTGCGTGCGGCTCGACCGCCGGCCGAAGGGTCTCCGCCACCGCCGTCTGTCCCCGCCGAAGTGGGTGGATGTAGATAGGAAGTTACCTAGGAGTTGTTTAATAAATCACCCCAGAGCCGACCTCGGGTTAAAAAACCCCATACGGTTAACATAATTCCAATATACTTGCCCGCCATTAATCTCGCCTACCAAATTCAAACGTTTTTCTGTCCGAAAGTATGATATTTGCCACTACACTTGCTCGCCGGGTCGCCTTTCTCACCTTACAGAGTTGACCAAAATAAAAAATGTCCGTACCTGTGAATTTATTTCGTTTTTAACCCAGAAAATGTTTGTTAGATTTTATCAACCGTCACTTGTGAAACGTGTACCTTGATCGACGCCTCTACTTTATTTAACTTACCTCGAAATTGAATCCCACGAAAGCGATTGACTTGTCCAGCCTAGTAAATCTGGTACGCCCGAGATGTACAATTTTCAAGGTATTTTTTCTGTGAGTGTAAAATCAGCGTAGCGCCAAACACTTGACAATAATAATTATGAACGGTTAAGTTCTATATTTTGTATTTATTTTTTCCTTCGTTATTCAATATTCAACCTGTCTTTCCGTATAAATACAAATCATATTAATTTATTACCTAATAATATTTGTATTTATTTATTTTAATGCTTTATAATATCATGAACGGCGCGAAACAATAATTATATTCAAGGAATGGGCGAATCAAATGCGCGTTTTAGACTATAAGTTTTAACTTGAATAATATAATAATAATTACTGTGAATTATTATGATATTATCCTACCTAGGTACCTATTTCTTCTTTTGAAAATCAATATTTTATAACGTAACGTGAATTGAACGTTTTTTCGGGTCAAACTGTCCGTGGTGTTTGCTAATAACAATATAATTAAGGGTTAGGCTAAGAAATTAAAATATATATATGTATATATATTTCTATATTACATTTTTTGGCAACGGTCGTGTTCCTGTTAAACGTTATCTCGCTCACTGATCGCTTAAAAACCGGAACGAGACGGCTCGGTGTCCTTGAACCAATTCCAGCTAATGTTTTTCTATGTAATATAATGTCTAAAAATATATACATTTTATGCAATAGTTTCTTTTTGGCAATTGGGGTCGTACACTTTTGAGTTATTGCACTTTCTCAAGTACAGGGCAAGATGGGGTGGGTTTGAATGAAAACCATATTGTTATTTTTCATAATTTTATTTTGTGGCAACTGTCAACTACGGTTGACAGTTCCAAACTGTAGTTTAAAGTTTTGTAAACATTATAATACTGTTCCCAACCAAACTAACCAATCTAGTATTTTTTTTAATCTAGCAGTTTTTAAATAAATATTTATTTTTATTTAAATCTACCCCAAATAGGGGGCAAGTTACATTGAATTTTATCAATGTATTGAAACATGTACAATATAATTAATTTATATTATATAAAACTATTTTTCTTTATTTAAAACAAATATAGAGCTGAAAAATATAATATAAATTATTTTATAAAATGTATATATTAATATATTGGTTCTTAACTAATTTTTCTCAACTTTTAAGTAATTTTCAACACTTATTTCGTTAATATTTTGTTTCGGTTCTCAACTCGAACTGTTTTATAACCTGAACCTAACATAACTCTTAGGTCGTGCCCTCCATTCTGGACACACAGTTCAGTGGGGGGGGGGGGGAGGGAGGTTAAACTGTTCGATTAAGCTGGGACTTGAGAGGGATAGGTTTACCGCAATATTGAGATAGGTTCAGCGGAGTTTGGGCCTACGATTTAAGCATATTTGTGTTATTAAACTATATTTAATTTCAATAGCGACTGGTCAGTCATGATTTCATAATGTGTACATACAAAACACCTACACGAGTTTGGCGGATTTGCGACATTATTATTTTGCGTTGACATAGTATAAAAGAGAACTAGGTATTAATAAGTATACCTAAGTATAAGAAAACTCGGATCGCCGCACACGCAACAGGGTCGAAAGCGTAGGACGACACGCAAGCAACTCGGTTAGATCTTTTTGATTTGATTTTCGCTTAATAGCCTGAAAAAAAAATACACTTATCGCGACTGGGTGATCGACATTTACAACCGTTACAAGGACAACTCTGTGTTGATCCACGAAAACCTTATAATTATTGTTGTGTTTAAGTTCTAGTTAGCGCTCGTTGTGTTTTTACATAAAACAAAAAAAATTATGATCATAATAATAATAGCCGTTATATAGTATGTAATCTATTTGGAACGAGATTGTAACATTTTTTTTTGGGGGGGGGGGAAGGGAAAGGAATGAGGGGCCGCGTAAATTATATAAGCTATATTATATTGTGTACGAAAAATTACATTACTATTAAAATTAAACATTTTATATAGTTTTATGGTGGAAAAGAAAACTCGAAGACAAACAAAACAGGTCAAACTATCACAAAGAATTTAATTTAAATTAAAAAAAACTTTTTTAAAAACATGCTTTTCTAGAAAAAAAAAAAATTGTAAAAAGTGAACTAAAAAGTAAAAAATAATTTTATTACAAGAACAATTTACCAATCGATTGTAGTGTATTTTATTTAAAATGTCAATTACTTTGAAAACAACCGAAAATTAACTACAATTTTAAATAATGTTAAACATCTTTAATTTTTGACTAAAAAGAAAAGCGTGGGCCCTATTCGACAAAGTCCAAATTCGTCGAGTTAAGTATTACGAAATGTATGTGTCACACACAAATATTAAACTAAATTTAAATTACAAAAGAACTTACAATATAAAACATTATCTGATAAATCCATTAGGGACTTTGTTGAACAGGGCCCACGCTTTTCTTTTTAGTCAAAAATTAAAGATGTTTAACATTATTTAAAATTGCAGTTAATTTTCGGTTGTTATCAAAGTAATTGACATTTTAAATAAAATACACTACAATCGATTGGTACATTTTTTTTTTTTATTATTTCCCTCGGCGGCAAAGGCCATTGGGTTACATTAAATTATATTTACATAAATTACAATACATTTGACTACATTAAGATTGGTAAATTGTTCTTGTAATAAAATTATATTTTACTTTTTAGTTCACTTATTACTATTTTTTTTTTAGAAAAGCATGTTTTTAAAAAAAAAATTGTATTTTATTTTTTTAATTTTTTTACTTTTTAGTCCTATTAAAGGTATTTAATAACTGCTGAATAGGATTACTAAATTCATTTTGGAAGATTTGGAAAAAAATTAAATTTTAGTGAAATGACCCCCACATTTGACCTTGTGTAGGGTGACCTGGATGTCCGAGTCCCAATACGATTACAGGATATTGTTTTGTCATCTAAGATGAGTGTCTGTGTCAAGTTTCAGTCCTATACGACATCGGGAAGTGGGTTAAATTAATTTTGCAAGATATGAAAAATACCCGTAGGTACAGTACGTGTTAGCGAGCTAAAGACAAGCATGTAAAAATAGTTAAGAATATCAAACAAGTAATAATAATTGGTAAAAAAAAAAAATAGCAAAATGCCAGTACATTTTTTTTTCTTTCGGAATGTTATCTATATTTATGGCATTTTATCGTTAATTTAGAATATAAACATTAAACACAGTTTTTAGGAAAACATTTTTGTTGAACATAATATACTTTTGTCAAAGCTGTAGGATTATCATTTGTTCGGCGGTATCTTTGTGTAGCATTAGTTGTTTTCTGCAAAATTAAATTTTTTAAACCACCAGACGGTTAGTGGTCTGCGCAAATATTATAAAACATCATTGTCTCGTTTAAAATGGCACATAAATATAAAAAGAAAAATAAGAATTTTACTGAAAGAAAAAAGCTAATTTGGTTTGGGGTCTAAGTCCGCCTATGTATACAGTTTGAACACCTAACAGAGAAAGAAGTGAAAGGAAAAACCGATTCGGTTATAGGGGAGGGGGGGCCGAACGTATGCCAGTAGAAAGAGTAACCACAAGTTCATTAAATATGTTGCAAAATCAAAAACAAATATAAAAAACCCAGCCTTTTTAGCAGTTTTTTACGATTTTGAGAAATTTTGCACTTTTTCAAAACTCTGTACCTCAATACCTATGCGGTCAAAAAAAAACGTTTTACTTATAATAATTGTAGGAAATGTAGTAGGTAGGAAATTTAGATAATGTGATTATCTTCTACGATTTACTAATTTAATGTTATCAGCTGAAATCAACCGTTTTTGAAATATATCGAAAAAAACCAAAAAAAGTGCGAACATTTTGGGGTTTTCCTCCCCTCCCCAAAATTCCACAGGGTTTTTTTGTTGAATAAATTGGGCGAAGCCCTACTGAACACCCACAAACAACTTCCCAAAGTTTCATTAAAGTCGGAATTTTTCGAAGGTACTAAGTACTTGTCGACTGGACTATATATTAACTGCCATTGTTGGTGTTGTTATTGCAGACCGTCGGAGAAGATCATAGTGCCCGAACCGGAACAAGAACCGTCTGGATGCAGGCGATTCGCGAACAGGCTGTGCTGTGCCATGAAGTGTTGTCCGTCGTCCAAATGCAAAGGGAAGACTTGCGGATGCCGTTGCGCCGCGGCGTCCAAGTGTTGGACGGCCGTGTGGAAGAGACGGCCGCGGCTTTGCGGGTCGACGGCTGCTGCGGCGGCCGCCGAGGAAGGGACAAGCGGCTGGTGGTCCAGTCTGCGCCGCTGTTGCTGCTGCTGCTGCTGCTGCTGTTGCAAACGCAACAAGGCGTCGCTGTCCGAGAACAGCGAACTGGGCGAGTCCACCGACGATCTGCTCCCGCTTACGTTTTTCGGCAAACTCAGGAACAGGCTGGGCGGCCTGTGCTGTTGTTGTTGTGCCGCCGCGGCTACTTGCTTCAGGCGGTGTTGCTGTTGCCAAGGCAAACGCGGAGACGTTCCTAAGAAATTAGTTCAAAGAAAAGGGACGCCGTTTAGATGTACAGGGTGTTGTACGGTAAGTTGTATAATCTACAGTTTGAGACAGTTCACGGTAGAGTAACGTGTCCAGTCCTAAATTAAGAAATTTGATAACTTTACAAGTAACTATATCCAAACTATATAGTTATCGACCGGTCAACGTCATCATCAGCAAATTATTATTAATTAAATAATAGCTACATTCATATGTTGTGCCTCCATAATGATCCTCCACAATTCCTCCATTATCATCCTCCATAGTTCCTTAATCATCCTCCATACAAATCTTCCATAATACTCCTCCATACTCCTACATTATCCCTCCATGATCCTCCTCCATAATTCCTCCAGGATCCTCCAGAAGTGTTCAAATTTTCAGAATAGCCGCCAGCCTTAAGACATATCCATCTCAAAAATAAAGGAACCGAGAACTTCTTCTACAGAACTTCACATTTTCCTAAACATAACATTAAATGTATTATGTTTGCAAAAAGGCGAGTTTTGTAAAAATGTACACACTGTAGTTCATAAAGAAAAACGTTGATGATAGTTTCTCTTTTCAGTGGTAAAAACTTATTAAATAAGCAATTTTTAAGTATTAACTATTAGACGAGTTCGTACCAAGGCGACACGCGTTATCTTTTTTACAAATCAGAGTTGATTGGATTTTTTTGACAAGAAAGTTTGCCACTTTTTGTACATTAATGTTTCTTTGTCTGCAGAACATTCCCAAACTGGAGGCGGTATTCGTTGACCATTCTTCGGTCATGAGAGGTGCCATACCGGTGCTGCCACTCACGTTAGCTTGGATATGCTTGGTATTCAATGTCATTTTGCCAGGAGCAGGTCAGTACATATTTTTACCATCAATAACATAGATTTAGAGTATATATAGTACTTCAAATTAAACATTTATTGGAAGAAGTATTTATTTAAAAAGGTCTATTTTATTTAATATTGCAGGTATAGTTAATATTAAGTTGTTCTTTTTCTATAATATAACTATTATACCGACTCAACCAAGTGGTTAAACAACGTGTGGGTATTGCAACATTCCATTTTGGTTATTATTTACATAAACTAGGTAGGTTTAATCTCTCATTTTTTTTTTTTTTAAATTACTTTATTTCATCAATCTTTTATGCTCTTTAGAATAAAAATGTCTAAATCAGCTTTAGGTAAACTAATAAAAAAAATTTGTTGATTTTTAAAAAAATATATTACACAATATTAGGTCGATTTTTCCGAACAGTTTTTTTTTTTATGTATTTAGAATGCTTGAAAAAACCCTATACAAAATATATATAGTTTGTTTTAAGAGGCCAGGTATAAACAACTTACAATATAAAATGTTTTATCATTTTATTTTGTAAAAAAAAATCACAAATTCTACATTTTTGCCCAAGAACCGTACACAGCACACAAAAAATAACACAAAACGGTGTTTTTTATAACTTTGGAGAAGAATCTGAGAGAAATTCAGAGGCCAATTCAGCGGGGAAAAAATGTATTTAATTTCTTTGGATGCATTAAATTGATGCTCACTCTAAGAATAAGGCCAATATTCGGTTTACACTTTACAGTGTAATATCCGAATAAAAGATAATTTGTAATTTTAATTTCGTCTAAATAAATATAAAATAATATAATGCTCGAAAAACGGCTGTTGAAATATTATAATAAATGATTAGTTTGTTACCTTTCACTAACTGTTCAGCTGTATAACAATAACTCGTTCGACATAATTTGATAATATACAAAATAAAAACAGACAACAGTGTATGGAATTTGTCGATATCGATGGTTTACATGGTAGTTTATGAGAGTAAGCGTTAGTTTTTCGAATTTGACTTTTCCAAAAAAAAACCAGAAGAAAATGTAGACCTACTTAGTGCTAGGCATAGAATATATATTCACAGAATAAACAGAAAGGAATCTTAGAGTTTGTAAAAAAACCGTCAGACACAATGGGTTTAAGCCAGTGCTGCCAGAACTCGGGATATTTCCGTGACTTATGGCTACACTGTTCGTTTGTTATTATTAAGAAGAACACGCCGGACATGATTTTATCTCGTCCCGTATAAATCTTATTTATCTCGTCCCGTATAAGGCCATGTAAAAATCGTACCGTTTCTTTTCTGTTTGTTCTGCGTTTAATAATACAATTATTATGGAAAACCTACTCTATAATAACCACGGTGTACTGCCCACGGGTTTTTCCAGGGACCTTTTCCAGCGGAGTGTTTTGCTTGTGCGTGGGAAAACCCCGGTTCACCGTCAACGACACGTTCCAGTCCAGACTGGGCTCGTTGCTGGTCAACGCCATCGTGGCCGCCTCTCAGCTGTTCACCGTGCTGTTCTGTTTGGTCGGATGGGGATGGAGCGTTTGGTGGGGAGTGATAATGATCAAAATGGCCAGTGAGCGGTTTTTCCCAATTATTGGTCTGAAATCCCCCAAAAAAAGCTATCGAAAATAATATCTCCTAAATTTCTTGATTTAAAAACAATAAAAAAAAAAAGGCCAAATTATAAATGTTTACGGCGTCGCTGGGAATTTATTATTTAAATTTTGGTAAATTTCAAAATTGCACATAGAATTGAGACAATGAGTGCAAAGTGGCCTAACCCGTAAATTGAAATTAATTAGTTAATACAATTAACCATCTTGAAAAATTAAAAATAATTTCAAAAAATTGTATTGTATTTATTTATAAAATTTGTTAATTTAAATAAATATAAGTATATTACGAATTATTAATTGTGTTTAAGTTAATTTTAATTTATCAATTCGGTTAATTTTATTGACTAATTAATTAAAATGTATAGGTTACTTTTGCACTCATAGTCTCAATCATATGTTTGTGGTGTCGTTGAATTCAAATTAAACCTTAGATTTCCAATAAGATACTTAGGTACTGATATATAACTACTGTTGTACCTTATACAACAATATACAAATGCACACCTCTAATTAAATCGAATGTACAAAGAAAGAAATTTGTTTTTTACAATTGAATATGTAATTGAACTCAACTTAGGATCTGAACTTAAGGCCCCTGGATACCGACCATTTTTAAGGAGTTTTGTATAGGCAATATTTAAGAAAAAAGTGGTTTTATTAAATTTCGACCATGTTAATTAATTTACCGGTTAATTTATATGAGCTTTATGGTATTATTTTTAATTTAAATAATTTTGTCTATGAGTAAAAGCCATTTTAGTTAATATATTAGTACATTGTTTGTCCATCGCACACGCTGAACCAGTAATCCGATAAGTAATCTGAAAACGGATTTAAATTTGCCATGAAGTTTACTTGATATCGGTCAGCGTACTTTTTTGATATTTTATTCCTACTACGCATAAAACACGTTTGAACATTTTATAAAATTTTAAATTTTTAAATCAAATTTGGAAAGGGTTAAAATTAAAAATTGAAAAAAGTGCTCTGACCAATCTCAAGTAAACTTCATGACAAATTCATGTCTGTTTTTAGATTGCTTATCGGTTCAATGGTTCACCCTGTGCGATGGACAAAAAATGATGTGTTTTGGCTGAAAAAAACGGTCGGTATCCAGGGGCCTTAATAGAGAGTCTTTAAAATAGATTACAAGATTGTACAAGATCACGAAAAATCCCCCTATGCCCTCTAAATTAGGGGCGTATGGTATACTTGATGTCAAATTTGAACTCGGCGACCTCGAAAACATATAAATCCACTGCTTTCTTACTGTTTTAAACTCAAATGCAGCTTTTATCACATTTTATCGTCTTTTTTCGATTTTAGACTACTCAATTACTAATTGATTTTTAAATCAATATAGCTTCGTGTTCGACAGCTGAAACCTGTTTAATATTATTTACAACATAATTTAACATACTTAAGTATAGTGTTCATAAGTTTCATGGAGTTCTTGTGGCTTATAGGCCTTTAAAAAAAATATATGTATATACATATATATATTATTTGAAAAAAATGTAAGTTAGTACACAAGTTTTTATACTGAAATAATGTGTAAACAATTTTTCGAGTAGTTTAACTGATATCCGTTAGTCAGCCCATCATTTCATAACAGATAAACAGAAATACTGAACTTAAATAATAATTAGAGATAAAATATTTGAAGAGAAAAAAAAAACATTTTTAACTAGCACATATTTTGTTGTTGTACAGTAAAAATTTCAATTTCTAAGTCTGACTTGAAAAATGTATTTTCGATTGCGTTTTTTTTAGATTTCAGACCACTCTGTGGGGTGAAGTGTGCGGTTTTAAAATATGTTTTTGTTGTTTTTTTTTTTAGAAAAATATCAAAAAGTCAAACTAGTCGATCAGTCTGCAGCCGCTGCAGCTGAAACGCCGGCGTCCGTCGATAACAACCAAAATAAGGACTTGGTGTGAATCATAAAATATCATATTATTTTATTATAGAAAACTACATACCTAGGGAATCGACACGACACGTATGAAAAACACTCACACAACATAATACCCGGTACCTGTATTGTATCTCAACTGTATTGTAATAAATATTTTTACTGGCAAAATGTGAGACTGCATGCGGTCTGTTTTTTAAATGAGTTTTGTATAGGCAACATTTAAGGTAAAAAAAAAAAAAAAAAGAGGTTTTTGATAAATTTCCACCATGTCAATTGTGACTTACCGGTTAACTTGTATAAACTTCGAGGTGTTATTTTGCAAAAGCCCTTTTGGTAGATTTCACACCAAAAAGCCAGACAAAATTTCGACTAGTACACAAGACGGTCCAATTTCAACTCTGTAAAGAGAAGATTCAATTTTGATCTAAGAATTCAATTTTTCAATATTATTATTTTCAAATCTCTTGTTGAAATATTTACAAGTAAGTCGAGCAATAATTATTCTAAATAGTATTTTTAGATATACAAAAATTATTTTATCTGTGATTTCTCAGATTTAGTTGGTCAACGTTCATCTTTCGAGTTGAACCACTAAAAATGCACATATAGTTGTTTAAAAAAAAAAAAAATATCCTTGTGTGAATAATTATCACATCCACCCATGTATTCAGTTTTCCATTGATAAGTATATCACGACAGCCGAACAGTGACTATCGTTTGAAGGATGGACTCCGCAACGTCAACGGAAAACTGAAAACATAAATACATCTGAAAATTATCCACAAAATATTTCAATCCTTGAAAGCCTTAACACATTCGAATGTATGTTCTTCACAAATGGATCTGTTTGAATAATTTTTTCCTAAGTATATCATCAATTATCCGTTAAGACGCCGATGAAAGCAGAATCTACTTATTATAGCCGACATATTTGGGCATTTATTTAAATAAAACTAGATTCTGAGTTCGAACAAAGCTATTAGAACGTTTACATACTTATACTAATCCGTTTATTTCAATTCATTAAGCTTTCGATCATTTTTTTTTTCGTCGCGTAACTTGTGTCGAGACGTCAAGCTTTACCCGAGTATGAGCGTTGTAATGTTATTATATTTTATAAAGAAAAAAAAAATATCACATACATAAATCACACGTTTCTAAACATTAAGTATACAATCATAATAATGATTTTGTCATTCGTATTTACAAAAAATATTACAGACGAGTCGCCCCGCTAAAAGTTGTGCCACCATTGGTCGGTTTCAATACTTTACAGGCAACATTTATCGGTAGGTCGGGAATCTAATCAATAGTAGTGTACAGACTTATCCAAATTTCATGATATGGTAGTTTTTTTCTATAAAATATTTAGCTAAAAATGTCTATTGTTTCAAAACTAGTTCTTAAGGTTAAAGTCAAAAATAGTTTTCTAAAGGGAATTTTAGAAATTAACATTTTAAAAGTCAAAAAGCAACCTGCATAGGTACTTTATTTACTTATTCAAAGCAAAATGATGTAAAGAAAAAATGACTTGTCAATAATAAGTTTTCAATAAGTACTTTTTCAGCTGTTATTAGGATTTAATGTTACTATCTAATGCTTTTTTCACTTAAACCTTAACACGAGAAGTATTTTTTTGAAACTGGTTATCAACTAGTCATTATTTTCATTAAATTATCCAAACCAATTATGTAGGTCAACATTTGTTTTTTTTTTTTAAATTACCTTTTAAAGAAATATTTTTAACTTTTTTTAAGAATTTAAAATAATAAAGATTTTAATCTAAACATTTTTAGCTAAACCAAGTATCTCATAGAACAAAATGAAATTTGGATGATGCTGTACAGATTGCAACCGTATACCACCGTCTGTTTATTTGTCCCATTTGGCGGTGGTCTCACGTCAAACCAGATCTAACCCCTTTGAACTTAGTCTTTTTGCTCTTGTTGCTACGCTTCTTGGACGGCAATGGTTCGTCCTCACTCTCGTGCCCATTCTTGGACTCTTCCACGCCGGTCTTGAACCCGTCCTGGATGCGCTGACGGGCTATCCTTGAACTGTTCCTGGCGCTGTGCGAGTAGTTGTGCTTGTGCGGGTTCATGCAGTGGGCCAAGTGCTTGGACAACCAAGGGCACTTGACTAGCGTGCAACACTTGGGGCAGTCGATGTCCTGGTTGATCTTGTTGATGTTGAGCTCGTCGGTCATGCGGCACAGGGCCTCGTCTGGCACGTCGTTCGGGTCGTTCGGCATCACGTCCTTGGGGTCGTACGTCTCGAGGTTGAGTTCCATGTGAAAGTCGAAAATGGCGTCGCACAGGAGTTCTTCGAAAAAACTGTCGACGGCGCTGAGCACGACCGGTGAAAACCGTTTCAACAGCATGGTCTTTTTGCAATTCTTTGACTTTCGGTTACCACCGTCGACTTTGTCCATCTGTACGACGAACCAAATTGTTTCTGCAACAAAGTAATTATAATCAAATTAGAAAAATATAGATACATTAAAAAAAAAAACATTACACACTAAACTATTGTTGGTAGGCCTGTGCTACAATAAGTTCTTCAAACAATAACAACGGTTAACGTTTCTAAGAAACAACAAAAATTATACAGGCCTACCGTTGACAAGTAATAAACAACACAACATATATAAACTTAACCTAAGCCCAACCTAACCGCCACCTACCTCAGAGATTTTTTCCAAAATATTTCATTTGAATTGCAAAAAAACATACATCTCATTGTAATGTTACCCCAAAACTTATGTAGTCATAAAACCTCAATTAGATATTCTCAATTGCTTAACAACCCGTGTTATTTGTCAAAAACTAACCTTTCGTTTTCTTCGATTAACACTTATAAAATGTGGTTGGTTTTTTTTTTTTTTTGTTACTCACATAAATAAAAATACAAGTGTTATCAATACAAAAATAATTGAACGCGTTTATTTGATTTCGTGCACAATAATGTATAAATTAATCAAGTCGTACAATCAATTTTGATTTACCACCAAACTTAGGAAACACATCACGACGGACGAATTACAGTTTTAACATAAAATAATACATTAAGTACAATTCAAAAAACAGTCTCATGATATAATTATACATTAATAAAAACTACATACATACAATACAATACAACATAGAAAAATTAATATCACTTTTGACAACACAAAAAGTACACCTTTTGTACTGAACTACTACTAACAAAAATTAGGTACACTGGTTCGATTATTGTTAACACACATCTCATTAAATTGCTGTAAACACAAATAACACACATGTCACTTAAAAAAAATTAATTGAACTACTACCGCTTAAATAGTTTAAAATGTAGTATTAGTAAAAGGACGTGGATGGTACATGTTTTTGAAAATGAAAAATTAACATTTTATCACACTGAGAAAACAGAGGTAGGTGTTTAAATGTAAAAAAAAAAAAGTATATAACTTAACAAATACTCTTAATAGAGATTTAGCTTATAGCAGTTTTTACATAGTTAAAACATATCCAAGTTAAATTTTTTTTAAAACTACAACATTGAAATTTGTACTGTCATAACACCAGTAATGATCAAATGCAAATGATATACAGTAAATATAAAAATAAACAACTGTCAACTATTAAACAAATTGATATATAAAAAAAATAACTTAACAGTAAATGAATGAAATCATTTATTAATACTTCAGTTAATAACTATACACTTGTAATTGTAGAGATTAAATTTAACAAACTATATCGCAACTAAAGAATATATTTCAATGAGAAAACATTAACAATTCACGCACAAAAAAAAAAATGCATGCAATATCGTTTAACCTATCAAAATGTCTTACAATTAAGTCATCGAGCCTAATGTTTTTATTACATGTATTTTCTCAGCGTATTCAATGAAACTGTGTTTAACGATAAAATAAATAATTTAAATTGTCGGCAATGTAAAATAATTTGTATAAAAAAAAAAAAAAAAACTATAGTAACAGATATTGAACTTGGTTTGATTAACATAATGCGCTATTAGTTCACAAGACATATTTTTAAAATAATGTATCTATGGTATGCTGTCTATAGATACAAATCTAACTTACAAGAAGAAATATAAAAAAATGTAGTTACTGGCTTTTAAATTGAATGTATAAAAAAATACAATGACATGCAACTATACTTACATATTTTTTTTCTTTTTATGACTACCTACTATGAAACTAGTATCTACATTTTAGGAACCTTCAGCGAGTTTTTTAATATTAAGCTTGTTGTACAAACATTCCAACTTTGAAAACAACATTTCTTGAATAAAGTCTACGCTTTCCAATGGGCAATAGTCATCGCCCGTGGACAATGCGATCGTAACGGCGGCCGGTTCGTGAATAAGATGCAAGAAGTTGAAAACTATGTCCATAAACTTGACTATATCGGTTAGGGATGTGTGATGGTTGGGCAACTCGATATTATCGATTGTACAACCGGCGTTATGTACAATCAGCCAATCGACAGGGTTGTAATGTTTCAACAGTTCGTTGACGATAAACGATAGGTCTTCTACATTAACAGCAGTCAGTTTTTCTCTAGGATATTCGTCCAGTGACTTACCGTCGTCCAAGTGCATAAATACAGATTCCAGTTCTTGCAACAACACTTCACGAGCTCGAGAACACTGCAGCAAACTATCTACATCGTCTCGGTTGGTCGGTGAAGTGTACGTGTAGATTTTGTGTAAATTTGTATACAGGTTGGCCTTGTCGTACATTGTTAAGAAAGGATTGTTTGTTGAAAAGAAATCACAATCAAAGTCCAAAATAAAATGAGGGTTCTCACTGGTGTACTGTGCAAATATGTTCTTCAACACGTCCACGTTTTCTTCGCCGCCGTTAAAGACCGAGCCGCACATGGTGTAAACAAAAAGTTTGATTGTCCTCACGTTAACGAGGTCATCTTCTAAACAGTATATGCCTTCGCTAAGATAAAAATCACTCGAGTTCGTAAGCCGAATCGCCCCGGACGTCTTGTGTTTGCCAATAGTGAAAATCACTTCGCCGTCGTTCAGCTGCCGGGCCCAAGGCGGTTTCACCCAGATGATCTTGTCAAAATGGCCGGCGTACGCTGCGGGCAGAATCCAATTTTCGATGCTCAACGAATCGAACAGCTGTTCTTTTTCGTAGACGTAATCGGCAGGCATGTCTTTGGGCACGGACAGGTCTGGATGCGAGTCAAAGTGCAACAAGACGTTGCCGTAAAGAGGCAGATGTTTGGAACCTATTTCTCGATACATGTACTGGAGCGCGTCGTTATGATCGTCGACCACATGAACGGGCATCGCTGAATGTTTCTTAATTTTGTAAACCATGTTTCTACACACAGGTTTACACGACCAACGTTTTATTATCGCACTCGTTTACAACAAGACTATAGGTGAGACGGTACAAACTGGTTTCTACTTACTTTGTTCAACGGCGGAAAAAAGAGATAAACGCAGCGAAATCCGCCCGGAGAATAGCCGCCGACGGATGAGAGACTTTAGTAATATCGAGGGGGGTATTGTGAATTTTTAAACGACAAACGACTATTATAATATATTAGTATGTTAACTGGCACTTTATCGACAAACCGTGCGCGCGGTTACGGCTTAATAACGATATTATTTTTGAGCACAACAAAAACACTATAGAAGCTATATAATAATAATAATAATATTATTGTTCGATATTATTGTTTTGCACGCTGTCGGCGGTCCTGTCCGTTTGAAGGGTTTACACTGTCTGACGCTATTACAATACCGTTTCACTGTTGTTGTTGTCTGTTTTTATTTTTTTTGTTTTTTTTTTTTTTTTCAAGAGAGAAACATGCGACAAACACGATGGTCGATGATGCTGATAACAGCTGCTGCGCCGCGTATGTGTGTGTGTGTGTGATAACCGACGAGACGGTTTAACGACAACGATGATTGTTTTTACCTCCAAGGTCCGTGTGATCCAAGGACGTTATAAGATCCCACGAGATTTATAATAATTGGGTATTATCATTCGACCTCGCTACCGCGAATAATAGCGTGTATTACGGTGACCTACGACAACGTATAGTTAATAATTTGTATTTTTTTTTTATAATTAGTAAGTACTCGTATTTATGATATTGTTACACGATTATTATAGTATTATTATTATTGTGGGAATTTTCGGGGGTTCGACCGAGGCCGTAGGTCCCCCGAGTCGACGTTGCGATCAAGTTTCGCGTTTGGCCCGGGAAGTGTGAAAAAATTTAACGATAATAAAATTAATTATATTGTAATTACACGTTTAATAGAAATTATAGTGCTATTTCAAAGACAAGAAGAAACTGTCGTGAGCGTTGTGTAATGGAAAATATTTAACGTCAATGCTAAACGATCGGACATTCGACATAATCGCACCTACTGCGATTATATCAAATTATATTATTAATAAAATAATACACAGGTGTCGGGGGAGAACAGGAGGGAATTAACAGCATAACAATAGCTTATTATGTAACAACAATTATATGTTTGATGTAACCTGATAACGGCCGCTGTATTTGTAACCAAATACGTTTCGGTAGCTGAAAAGTATTTGGTTACCAATACATTTTATGGAAACGCTAAAATAGTCTTTGTATTTAAGTTTTTTATTAAAGTAAAATAATAAATGTATTAAAACCGGCTTTATTGGCACTTTATAGCTTTACTGTTTAGATATAAATTTGCAAAAGTATTCAACTCTTGTTGGCTATGGAAATCTAAAGGCCTACAAAATATCATGTCATTATTTAAGTAATACTTTTGGTATTCGATTTAGGAGACGAACAACAATAAGAAATATAAAAAATTAGATGTTTAACGTTTAAATACAATTACTAAAAAATATATTTTTAGTAAAAGAAATATTAGTCTTAGCTAAATAAGTATCCACTATTTGTGTTTTTTTATGTAAGACAACTTTAATGTCAATGTCATGAATGTGACGTGCAAAAATAAAATTCAAAAAAATATTTTAATGGTAGTAGGTATTTTAAAAAAAATACATTTATAAAAAATAATATTAAATATAATACTATTCTAATATTTTGTTTTTCATAATGTATTTATATTTTTAATGAAATACATTTTAACAACACTTTAATTAGAATAACTATCTTCCATATTTTTTTTTTTTTGTAATTACCCAACTAATAAAACAAAATATTTTCTCATATTGTCCGCGAAAAAGATTTCATTTATCAATACACAATACCTATATTTATTATGTGAAAACTAAATTCATACATCATACGACACAATTGTAAAGGAGAAACTAATATCAAAGAAAACGTTGATAGCTATGTAGTTGTCACACTACAGTAGTCAATAATGTCAAAAACAAAATACTACACAATATTAATTCTATTAGAAAATATACTGGAATTTCAGAAAATATCAACAACAAAAAATGGGTCTGTCATTTGGGGTAAAACTGATTATTATAGTAAAAACTACTCATCCGCAAGTAGCACGAAACAAGCATTGGGTCATACAGTTTTGCAATAATAATTATTTAGAAAATTGGGCGTCGGCGGGTTAACTATTTGAATTTGCGCGCGCTTAAAAAAAACGGCCATAGAGGACATGGAAATCGAAACGCATCGTTGACTGAAAACGTTTCGCCTCCCTCCGAATATGATGACGTGTCCGTTTCTGTTATCACGTCCATAACAACAATTACTGATAACGATTAGAAAATATCTGAAACGCTGTTTAACCCGCGGTAGTCGTCCGTCGTGACCTGTGTACGTTGGCAGCGGATATTTGTTTCTTCTTCTTTGGTATTTGATTATATTTTGCTTTATTCCTATTGCTATACACAAACGGCATATTGCCTAAAGGTCAACTCACTCCGCACTAGTTAATTTGCATTGGTTTTTTGTTTCATTAGCCCAAACAGTATTGACGCTGTTCGACGTTCGCCACCTTAGACGACATCGTCGATGCCGAAGAGACACACTCCACTTGCCTTTTTGAACTAGTCAACAACAATAAAATGCGTTGTATTTGTTAGAAATTCGAAATGAATACTTTCGTCCAGTTTTTTCAAAAGGTATCGTTGCTGGTTTTAACGCCGCAATGCTACCAAGTGTTTTTTACCGATTTAGATTTCTTTAACGGTACGTACGACGTTGTGTTATTTATTATGATATTTTTATTATTGCCTGACCGGGCTTTGTACAACTTTTAAATAACTACAAAAACCATACCTAAAAGTCTGTGTAACTTTCTCTTAACAAGTTTAGTTGTCAAGAAGTTGGTTTACATACAATTATGCCATTCTAGCACGTTGAACGGTATGCTTTAGAAAAAGTGAATCGATCTCATTTATATCTATATAGGTACCTATTTTATAATTAAGGTTATTTCAGAGGATCCTCAGACTCCTCCCAAATGTTTATGTTTTATTTTATACTACTTCAATATATCAAAACGTTTATCGATAATAAATCCTTGTTGCCCCGCTCTCTAAATCAATATTCATCATTAATTTCTATCTGTTCTACTATTAAAAATATGTCAAGTGTTTATGTAGTTGAGTGTAGTAAATTATTATAAAATAACTTATTAGACTTAATAAACACTAAAAAAGAAATTAAAAAAAAAATATTATTCCAATGTTTGTATTTCAGGTGCTTGTTTAAAATCTACTCTCAGCAAAGGTCTTGGGCTTGGAATTGTTGGAGGATCTTTACTAGGTAATAGTTAATTATACTTTTAAAATATTTTATCAAGTAAATTTAAATAATATTATTTGCAACTAATTGTCTTTAGCGACGTGCTAAATAATTAATTTTTATTAACAAGTATATTATATTAAAAATCTAGGCTATTAATATTTTTTATAAAATTAATGATAATTATAACATTTATTATTATTGTTTTATTTCTTAAAGGAATATTGTAAGTATTTAACTAAAATTTTTACAAATGTTACTGTGCGTTTTTAAAACATTGTCAAGCAAAAATTGAACACTAACATTTTTTCAATGATTACTGAAATGACCCATATTGTTTATACTTGTTCTGCATTACATTATTAAAATATTAATCAAATAACTAATATAGAGCAATAGTTGAGAATATTAAATTCAAAGTAGAACTTCAGGAAAGAAATATTATAGGACTAAAGTTAATTAAGGAAAGTGATTTAGTAGTAATAAGAAAATTATAATCACTAATAACAATTTTCTTTAAAAGGGAAATTATAAATAATAATAATACAAAAATTTAAGTAATCTAATGGATTATTATTATTATTTTTTTTTTTTTTTTAGTTAAACTTCCACAAGTTATAAAGTTATGGAAGAACAAAAGTGCAAAAGGCATAAGCATAATGAATGTAAGCATGGATCTGTATGCTGTTACTGCAAATGTTGTGTACAGTTATGCGAACAAATTTCCTTTCAGGTAATTACTGGTACTTGGCACAAGTATGGTAGTTAAATCTTAAACTAAATTGTGGTACTCGTTTAAAAACAAAACATTTAATGACAGAGACGCCGTCAAAATAGTGAACATAAATAGCAAATATAAAAACATCGACGTAATAATTGCAAAAACTAATAGGTGAAAAATGATAATAAACATAATTTTGTTTGGTATGCACGTATACAATTAATACTATCTTGTTTTCCACCTTCTGCTCTCTTTTCCAAACCTTTTAAATACTTATTAATTTAAAAAGAGCTATTAGTAAGATAGTTAATGACCTAGAGGAAATCGTCTGTACAGATAAAATATAAAAATCTCATTATACGTGAAAAAGATGTTTACAGTTATTATAGTGTTGGTTATTTAAATGGTATCTGTATAAAGCAATTTAAATTATATCCTTCAATATTACACTTAATAAGTTTTGATTCTACACAATTTAGTAAATTAGGAAAGAATGAATAAGTAACCTAATTTGCGATATCTAAAATGTTACGCAACCCCAATTTTTTCAATACATTTTAAACTAAACAATTTACTATTAACAATTATATTAAAAAGCTTTAGCTATTAAATTGTACTAACATTTCTTTAAAATATGGTCTACCTAATACATTGGTTTTTTTTTTAAGATTCGCTTTCAGATAAAAAGAGTAGAACAACCTAAAAGTATTTAGAAAGTTTGGGGCCTCCCAATCCGATTTGGCCTCATATTTTGTAATGCTAGCACTGCTTATTCTTTCAAACGCCAATAACCAAAAAATATGTTTTCAACCGACATAAGTTGACATTTTTAATTAAAAAAGTTGAACAAGGTACAGAAATAGCTAAAAAAATATAGAATTTTGTAAATATATCAAAAAAAAAAATTGCAATTTTTTTGTTCAAACATTTATCGATATTTTGGCCTAGATCTTTTAGAACTAAAACGAGCATTGTGTTTAATTATATTGTGTTACTTAAGCCATTGTAACTGATTATAACTGAATCGTTCAATAAATATGCAAGTAAATATCAGTTTTGCAGTTTGCGAAAATCAAACGCACAATTTTAAATAAAATATTAATATATAACACTTATTTAATATTTTTCAAAATATGTACTATTTATTACTGTATTTTCTTACAGTGCTTGGGGCGATTCTCTATTCATACTGTTCCAAACATTACTGATTGTCATGTTGGTGATAAACTACAATGTGTCCAGAAATGCTGCTAAATCGTTCACTGCAGTGTTTTGCGTATTGTTTTCAGTTTTAATGTCTGGAGCCGTACCGGAGTCGGTGCTTTGGACTGCACAACTCACTAGTATACCTTTGATGTTTTTCGGCAAAGTAAACATTTTTTCCCCTCAATTTACATATAAGTAACATAATATAATATGTATAGTAATAATAACGCAATGTTTTCCCCACCAGATAACCCAAAGCTACGTAAACTACGTAAATAAAGGAACTGGCCAGCTGTCGATGGCCACTTGTATTCTGCTGTTCTTGGGTGCGGCAGTGCGGGTGTTCACATCGGTTCAGGAGACCGGGGACAGCTTGTTAATATGGACTTTTACTTTGGCAACGATCGCCAATTTTATTATTGTCGCTCAATTTTATTATTACCGACCGATCGCTACAAAAGTTAAGTCTTCCAAGAAAAAAACTAAAAAAACTTAACATCTTCAAAATATTGTTTACGAGATCGTTTATTTATTGTTTTTCTCGAATTGTTCGAAATTATTATATTAAATACAACTGTGCACGGTTAATTACGCAATGTATTTGTGTAAGCAATCTAGTCTGGAACTCCATTCATTGCGTTGTTTTACTGTCGAAAAAAACAAAATCATAATGTTGCAATAATAATTTTATATTTTTTAGTTTTTATTTAATTTATTGAAAATATGATGTATTTTTATTATTATCGTAACTTGATTCCATTTACTATTCGGAATATAATTATTAAATTATGCCCACGGGAATTCAGTACAAACTAATTATCTTCTTATAGTTATTTTGTAGCGTAATATTATTCTCGAGTAAATCTAAAAGCAATTTTATTTGTCGATTATAGTTATTTCTACAGGGTACGCTTATTAGAAAAATCTAGAGCTACAATATTTCCTAGTTAATTCAACTAGTATTTAAAAACGTTTAAAGTAAATTAAATTATGTTATTTATAAGTGTTAAAAACAACATTGTAAAATCCAGAATTGTGTGTAAAATAATGTAGCTGATTGTTACATTAGCATTGCCTATTTCATTGTATATTTAATCTATGATTAATATTAATCATAATCGTTTAATATTATTCTACGATATTCCATATGCAATTTTGTCTAGTCTTTTTAAAACAATTACACAATGGATATGATTTTTGTTTAGTTTAGATTTTCAAATATATGACAAGGAAATAGTAGTTTTAAAAAATGTAATTTCTGTATTTAAACTTACGGATTAAGATAAGCGAATGTCAACATTTTTCTAGCAATTATGTCACTTAATAATAATTGTAACTCAAAAGAAGCTCGACAATCAAAATTATCATAGTTAATTAAATAATAATAATGTACAGTTTAACTAGATAATAGTTTCGTCAATATTGTTTTTATAATTATTATCATTGTTTTGTTAATTTATTATATTTATATTTTGGCTCATATTTACACTATTTTAAATTCGCTTGTGATTTTCTTATTATTAGACATTTAATTTAATTCAATCTTATGAACTGCTAATTATACATTGTGTTTTTGTATAAAAATTATTTATCATTTTTTTTATAGAGGGAGTTATTACTTTTGCACCTCTCTTTTAAGGTAAAATTAAAATTTTGTAATAAAATTCACATGCATGTACTTGATCACCATATAGGAATTATTGTTGCCAAGTTTAGAACTGCCATCATAATTTTACACCTAATTTAGAAAAATATGGTGGATATTTTACTTTAGTTGAATAGTGCACTAATGTTATGGTGAAAGTCGCCACTTTATTATTAACAATAAATATTTGTGATTTTATTATTACACTAAAAATTTTTACTTACGTTATTTGCGACAAATTATCAAACAATTTTGTTTTATTTTATTAACATAAATAATAGTTATTTAGGATTTAATTTCTCAATAAATGCACGAGAGCTTTGTTTGATTTTATTGTTATTATTATTATCTTTTGTGTTTCACAAATGTATAATACCTATGACTCGATAAGTTTTTTTTTAGAGCACCTTTTTTTTTTTTTGTTAAATACAAATATTTGCTCCCACCATATTGTCCTTACTCATTGTACAGAACTTACATTGTAGAACTGCTTTATAAAGTTTTTCAAAACTTGGCGTTGCCATCACGTAACTTGTGATTTGTTATTTTTTATACAAATAACGTTTAAAACTATTTTTTATTTAATACATTTTTTTATATAATTGCCGTTTCATAATTTATTATAATAATTTTGTTTAATGCCGATTTGTTAATGAATATCGTTCTAAAGGACACGGCAACTGTAATATGAAAACTTAAAATTTTTGTCAGTATGTGTAATGTAATTAATAAAAAAATGTATTAAATTAATAGAACATAATATTAACGTAATGTTATTATATTTGTTTTAACCGATGTCGGCATAGTACGTATTTTACAGAAAATTAGCTTATAACTAGCAACGGACAATTATTAATCGAGACAACTATTTTACGCACACGTATTTATGTATTCATATTTTATGTTTAAAATGGTTTTCAGAATTGTTTTTTTTTCTTATTTCAAATTATTTTTATAAAATGTATTTTTATTTTTTAATTTGGGCACTTTTAGACTACAACATAATCGTTTTGGTCATTGTATATATTTAATTTAATATATTATATACTAATGATAAAAATAAATTGCTTTGTATTGCACATATTTTTATTGAAATAAGAAAACCGATTATACGGTTCTGCAAAATTCGGGTGAGTTTTTTCCAAAAGTTATGGTTAAGTTTGAAAAACTGTTCTTTTTAATTTTTTTTATTGAAAGTGGTCAGTTTTTAGATCTAAAAGCCTGACAAAATTATGTCTACTTAAATCGTCCAATTTGAATTTTGTAAAACTACTCAAGCTGTTAATGAGCCTTTTTTCTAGGTTATTGTGGTAACCGATTTTTTTAATAATTCTATTAAAATAAAATATATTGTAATCCTATTTAAATTTCACCAATTTTCAATATTTCCAATATTGGTTTGCTTTTTTAAGTAAACTAAACAGTTATTTAAAAGTCCACTTAAATATTTTTTTAGAACTAAAATGCTAGGCTAAAGCAAGCTTTTAGGTATTATAAATTGGTTTCTTGTAAAAACAAAATAGCAATTGCTCGCAGTAAAAAATGTATACCTTGAAATTGAAAAACTAACGAGCAAAATAAATTGACATGATCGAAATTTATCAAAAACCACTCTTCGTTTTTAAATATTGCCTATATAAAACGCCTTAAAAATCGTACGCTTTCAATCCTCTTGAGTCATTTTTTTCCCAGGAACTTAATGTTAATATGTAGATGCATTTTATATATTCATCTATTTTTTATATATATTTTAGCTAAAGTGATAATAAAGATTTCAATGTGAATGTTTTTCTTAAAGGTATATTCTCATTATACTTAACTAGATTATACTAGGAAATCTATAGAAACTTGCCAAATTCACTAAATTAAAAGAATGGACAATAATTTAGGGTTTTTTGAGATTTATCGCAAGAAAACGCACACTTTTAAGTGCATTCTCAAAAATTCAAATCACTGTTGGCGGCAACTTATAAAATGGCAGCATTTAATAGTGTATTCTTAGTCAATATTCCTATGTTAAAAATATTGTTTTGATAGAGAACTTAATTTAACAATAATTGAAATAGCTAAATTCAATGGGTATGGCCAAGTTGGGTAGCCAACAAGCTTAATAGAAGAGATGATGAAAACATTATAAGAATTGGTATGGTTTATTTTCCAGGTATCTCAAGGGGCTTAACGAATTTGTTTTGGAAAATTACAGGTATGCCCGTCAAGTGTTTTCAGTTTTGTTCACAGTGATTTTTTTTTATCATTTGTCTATTATATTTTAACAAACAAAAATGTTGCACGGATATAATTTTGAAATATACTTACTAATATTTTATATTGTATTCATAATTAAAATATCAAAAGTTAAGCGTTTTTCCCGTCTCTGCGCGTACAACCTTATCAACTTGAAAGTGTTCAATATTTTACACCTATTAAAACGGTAGGAAAATACTAACAGAAACTGACAAGGAATAAACTATCAAGCGGCCAAAATATTACACAGGGCAGAGGAAGTCGCTTTCAATTACTATCTATGTTGTGATGAGCACAAAGTGCTTTGCTTGGGGTTTGTAGCAAATTAAACGCACTTAAAAAGAGTAAATCCGGCGCTCTGGTCTGCTAACATAAAGCACTTAGGTATAAGTCGGGTTGCATTTGACCGGCAACGTTTTATTGTCAACTCGTTCACTTACTTATAATTAATAACCAATGAAATAAATTTTACAATAAAATCATAAATACCGTGTCATCTTTTGGGCGTCGCACCAGTCTTGTCTCGTTATAACAATTACCATCGTTTTTCCATCCGGGTAAAATCTTGGTAAATAATAGAATTATTACTGAAAACGAAAATGTCCTCGTTTAGATGTTTATTAAATTTCACTAAGTACTTAAAAACATTAACGTTAACACACAACTCGGTTGGTCCAACGTCAATTAAATAACATCATTTTTAGTGTATAAATTATTTTATACACTAAAAAAGTAATATATATATATATATATATAATATAATGGCTGTGTCAATATTTTAGCCCTTTTTATTAAGTGCATTTTCATGTGTATCGCACTCAATTATTGTCTAAAACAAGTAAGATTCCCAAACTCATGTCTCTTATAAAATTACTGCTAAAAGGTGAATAATATTTCTGTCTTATTATATTTTTCTACCATAAGATTGGGAATTATTTTCTTTAATCGGTAATCGCCTCCAAAGTTGTTAAAACCACAGTTTTCTGGTATTATCAACGCGTTCAATAATTTGCTAAAATCTATTTGAAAAATTTGAATATTTTGTACATATTTTTTTTACTGTATTCAAAACTAGACTAAGAATTAACTGGAAATGTTTCACAAGCAATGGATTTTAATAAACTAACATATTTGCTGTGATTCAAACCGTTCAGATTCAATTACAAACGGTATGACAAATTATTATAATTGGACGGTTAGTTGTAACACGGTTCGCCCGTCAAACTTAAAGCTTTCTATGCTTGAATTAGTAGTATTCAAATACCTAATTGTGTCCCTATCCCCATTTGTATAACATACTTAACTACCTATACATGTCCTATTGTATCCTGTGCTATTATACATTTATATCAATTGTCAGATATTATATTACACAACTGGTAGGCCCACATCCATGTATATTGTTCTTAATGATTTTATCCGGATCCGCTCTATAGGCCCTATACCTACGGTGGTGTACTGAATTGTAAAGTTCAGAGTTAATAGAGTTTGTGTGTTGTAAATATAATATAGAGCAAGTGCCAATTAATGGTGTGAGTCATTGGCCTTAGTCAATGGAATCTAATTGATCACCAAACTTAACACTATGTGTGTCACTTGCTCGTGGAGGATTTTGGTTAAGTATAATATTTATGGACCAAATGGGATCTTACTGGAAAAGTGCATTATTAAATACATACCGACTGTAATAATTATCATACGGAAACGCCTGTGATAGATGCCATTGAAATTGCAGCATTGGAATAATCAATTCAAGCAAACTTCCGAAGATGCTTAGTGGTGGACTTGACACCTTCAAAGAAGTTGTTTAATACCGATATTGGTATAGTGCAGCCAGTGTAAAATGTCTAATAAATATTC